AAAGATGTTTCCTAACGATTTTTTAAGTAAAATTTTTCAAATTATACTAGACAACCAGTAGAAGACAACAGAAAAAATATTCTTACTTCTGTTTGAACTGTTCATTGAGGAATGTGCTGCTGTAGCTAGAGCTGAACGAAGTCGTGGATTAGTTCTTATTTGATCAACAGCTTCCTATAAATAAAACAGCTTTAGTAGCAGAAGGAAACACTCTACTTTTCGTATCGAATTGTCAGTCGACGCTTCCAGGAACTTGTTAACGGCCCGCCCCTCTTTTTGGACTTTCCGTAGAAATGCTATGAAATAAACTAAAACTCACTAAGGCCTCATATTTTTTTTAAAACTTTGGATTTATAGGTTTTCGAACACGCTCTGCAAGATGAGAGTACTTAGTAAAATATCTGAGATCGTCATTAAGCATGGGTGAGCGTGGTTCTCGTGCAGTGAGTCTTAAATGTGGCCATCACACTAAGGCATACAATTATCCCGACCTTTCAGAGAATTATGAAGAGCTGTTTCATCACTAATTTTGAATATACATCAGGCCTACTTACTATACTCAGTTGTTCTTCGATCGGACCAATACCATCGTGCACTTCCGTTCCCACAGGATATTCATTGTCATCATTCTGTTTATAAAATTTAGCGGGTTAATTTAGTCATTTATTAGTAAAGCCTATGACGTACGAGTCTGGCTTAATAAGGATTCTGAAGGTCAATCGCACTTGATACTCTGTATCGAAACTTTCTGGTTCTATATGATCTTATCTTCTCTTTTGATACTTACACTCATAGTTGAAACAATAATATTCTAAAACAAGGAGAAAAACAGAGGGTTTGTATAAGGTGTACGGTAGATTCTGTGGAAGTGACAAGTAAAACAGCCACAAAAGAATGTAAGACAACGGTTTTGAGAGATATATTTTGTAGGCATGGCCCAGGACAAAATCCTACACACGTCCTATCTATTTTAAGGCTTCACGTAATGATTATGTTCTTCATCATGTACTTTAAAGGCACTATGATCGTATCTCGGCGCCTTCAGATCATGTAATAACCATGTACAAACTGGCTAAGTATTAGTGCCGTAGATCACCTGTTGGCAGCATACTCACTACGTTGTGACGTACAATACAGCTTCTTCGGCTAGTTCTTGTAACAATTGCCATTCGGCAGAACCCTACACTGATAAAGATAACCACTAGACAGAGTATTTTCGCGTTCTACTTATTTTCTACTGAGATTCTACAGGATCCTAGTATGTAGGACCCTACTATGACCCGTCTAGGATCCTAATAAGTTCCTACTGACATCTTATATGTTAGAATCGTACTAGAATTTCGCGTAAATTTGTTTATGATTCCGACAGGATTCTACCAAATCCTGCAACTTTTTAGTGCTCTGAGATCATAAAATGCCGAGTCCTAGTAGGATTTTGGTAAGATACATCAAGCAGCCTTTTAGGGAATTGATAGATCTCTTACTAGGGGAGCGTCTTTCAAATATTTTTCTGTTTTATCTGACTGCACGCAACGGTGTATGACACTTGCTAATTCGCTTGAATATCTATGAGGTGTCTCATTTAGTGTATCGAAGCATATGCTCTGTAAGACTAAAATACATCGAACTTAGTTGAATCTTTGTGGCTGAGAATTAGAAATTTGCATGGGCAGACAATCGTTCTCTCCGACGAAACAATTCATAGACGACCAT